AAATAAAAATAAAAAACAAGCCAAAACTAGGCACCATGTCCTATCCAAGTTGACGCATAATATTAGCCATCACAGGAACTGGAGGGATGGCTTAGCAGTTAAGAGCACTTGTTGCTTTTCCACAGGACCCAGGTCAGGTTCGATTCTCAGCACCCACATGGTGGCCCCCAACCCTCACTCTCGTGTCAGGAGATCTGACATCCTCTTCTGACTTCAGAAGGCACCAGGCTTGCATGTGATACAGACAAAACGCTCACCCACATAAAATAAACAAATCTTCTTAAAAATTGTTTAATTCAGTTTATTCAATATTTCTTTATCAAACATGCGAAGAGAACAGTTTGTAGCCTGTGTGTGGAGAAGTGCCTATTTGTGCTTTCCCACTTCTTTCTCTTCTTGGAAAGGTAAGACATTCATAGTGTCTTTTAAAATATAAATACCAGGGGACTGGAGAGATAGCTCAGTGGTTAAGAGCACTGGCTGCTCATCCAGAGGATCTCAGTTCTATCACCAACACTAACATGTCCGTTCACATCGGTCTGTAACTCCAGTCCTAAGGGATCTGACCCTTCTAGACCCTGTGAACACATAGTACACAGACATACATGCAGACAAAACACCCACACACATAAAATAAAAATAAAAGGTTTTTAAAAAGCTAAAAATAACTCTCACAATAGAACTTCATCAAACCTTTTGGCTTTAATCCAAAACATGTACTAGTCCACTCTTTTCTCCAGGATTTGTTTAGTTTGGAAATAGGGCTTCACATACCCCAGGATGGCCAGGAACTCACCATGGAGTTGAGGAAGATTTTGGCCTTTGATTCTCCTGCCTCTGCCTCCCAGTGCTGAGATAACAGGCATGTGCCACATCTGGTTTTATGCGGTGCATGGAATGGAACCCAGGGCACTGGGTGAATGAAGCAAGCACCCTACCTCCTGAGCAGCATCCCCAGCCTCCAGGCATTTATGAGCCTTCACACAAATCCTGTCTCCTTTTCCCTCCATACCAGGAGCACATCTTTTCCCAGATACCCTTCTGGTTGTGTGTGACAGAAGTAAGTTCACTTATCCATTGTCCAGGAACGATTTCTAGACGTCCTCCATCGACTCAAGGTCCCTTTGCACAGAGACTGTATGCTGTCAACATCTGTTGTGGCCAGGGCTGTCTGACTCCATAAATTCTTTGGGTGACTGTCTTCTGAGCTTAGGGATCTGCTTACATCTTTCTTTTCTGTTAGTCCAAGAACACTGGTTTTGGACAAGATGGGGAGCTGGTGCGGGGTGCTCTGGGGTCACAGACTCCCCACTCCTCTTCCACCTGAGGAAGCACCATTTTGAGCTGCTCTCATATATTAGAGTCCAGATTGAAATCGTGTGTCTTCATTTCCTTTGAAATCATGGCTGCGCTGTGCTGTTTTGTTTTGTTTTTTAAATGAAACCACTGCTTTTGCTGCCTTCAATATTTCCTGGCTTGTCAGAACTCGTCTGACTGCCTCAAGAAGCTGAGGCAAAAGCCAAGAAAATTAATATTGGCTAGACAACCAATATGGCCTGAGACCTTTGCATAGTCTCATTCGATTTTTACAGAACTCTTGATCCTGGGCCTCGTAACTCTCATTAACAGATAGAGCTCAACAGGAGTCCTGGCATCACAGAACCAAGTGATGAAACTAAGAGTCAAGTCAAGATCTATCCAAAGCCCATGTTCTCTCTGCTCCTTCCTAGTCCTTAACCTCGTCTGCAACAAGCTCTAGGCAAATCACTCATTCACACGTTCAGTTACGTGCTCATTTCTTCAAACAAATATCTATGCACTTTTTCTCTTTATTTAGAAAAATAACGGAATGCCTCCTGTGTATCAGACACTATTGGCACTCTGGGAGCAGAACAAGTATAACAGAAACCAATGCTTTCCATCGGGGAGCCTCTTGCTCCTACATGGGAAGCCCTACATGGGAAATACTAAGAGTAAAAGGTTTGCAGGGGAATGGGATTCAAGAGGGACACTGAGGGAACGTGGGGAGTGAAAAGTTTATTAGAAAAGTTATTAATGCCATAGCTAGGCAGGCAGAGGCAGCAGCATGGTGGGGCCTCAGAGAAATGTTCAGGCCCCAGGATCAGAGACAGACAACATCGCAGGGTCTCTAAAGAGAGGAATCAGGGACCACATGGTGGAAGTGGGGTCTCTTTTTATACCTATCTGAGGATGTGGGAGCTTTCAAAGTACAAGCCTGAAGCCAGGCTCCCTGGAAGGAGGCAGAGAAGGCAAACAGAATGTGTAGCCACCAATACCTGCCTTTAATGTAAGCTCACATCCCACGTGACAGATCCAGTTAGAGACTCACAGACAGTATCCTTGTAGGGTTCCCGCCAGCATCTATAGAAGAGAAAGAGCTTCTGGGAGCTATGCCAGCCTGAGCAGCAGCTGGATTCTAACGTTGCGTTCTTACAGAGAGGAAGAATGCGAAAAGAGACAGAAAGCATCCCCTGTGCGAGAGAAACCTCAGAGGTCATGTCTACATCACTACAGTCTGAGTCAGAGGGTTCAGCAACAGTCAGGGCACAAGGGCAAGCGTTAACTGGGCAGGAATGCTGATGGAATGTACAGACACCCTCCCTGCAGACAGACGTGCAACTTGGTACCTGACACTAGCCACACCCCAGCACAGCTAAGAGGCTTTTTCTCTTCTCCTAGTGAGATTTTTTACCTCTTCAAGCCAATCATGGAAACAAAAGGAATCACAAAAGGGTACAAGTTGGTGCGAGGCCTCCAGTGCCCTCTAGCAGAGTAGCTGCCCATCAGGGAAGAGGAAATGCATACAAGGCTGATTCTCCTTGACCTGGGAGCCCTTAACTGTAGGACCAACCAGTCATCATTAGTACCTCCTTCCTATGTTCCATGGGTCTCTAGGGTATTAAACATAACCTTAACCCAAGACCCTCTCCTTTCCAAACATCCGCTGGTCATCATTAACAATGTCTTGTTTGTAAACTGTCTTAGTATTTGATGATCATAACAGTCCTGTGAAACAACTTGTATTCTACCCATTTTGTAAATGAGGAAATAGACCCTAGGAAGATTGGTCACCGTTCAGAGTAACTCTTGACAGGAAGGCTTGACTTTGAATCTGGCATCCTGCCGCCTAGTTTAGCGTGCTCAGCATTAGACCACAACTACCGGACTGCACCGTGACCAGCAGGAAGCTCGCATTTGGCTTCCTCTTGACATTTATGGCTATGAGAGGGGTGCCACAAACATCTACTTAATCTAAACAGGAGACAAAGCCAGGCATCGTAGCACACTTGGGAAGCCGAGGTGGGAAGCTCACACGTTTGAGGTTAGTCTGGACGATTGCCAAAGACCCTATCTCCGTGAAACAGCACGCAAGTGGCTGAGGAAATGCTGTCAAATGCTGGTCTCCCACTGACTTCACACTGCACCCTTTATTTCCAGAAAGTAGAAGGGAAAGCTGTGGGTTTGGAAAACATCTGTACGGTCTCCTGGATAACAGTGGGAAAATATTAGTGTGTTAATGCCCTGTGAAAAGGCTACGGCAAGAAACTAGTCAAGTGTTCGAGGGGAAGCCTGGCATTTCTGACCTTTGTCAAGACAGGATCTTCTAAACAGAGAAAACGTATGTGTTCTCTTTGTCCCCAAGTTGGCAAGGAAGCTAGACAGGCATTTCTTTTTCTACTTAAAGTGTTAGCATTGTGTCAGGGCTGCTAAACTCTGGTGTTAAGTAACTTAGAGTCATGGTGACTTGAATTTGACTCTGGGTCCTGGGCTTCCGGGCAGCACAGCCTTGAGCAAATGAGTCTCTCCGAATTTATTCATTGTCAAGATGGAAGGAAAAGGGTTCTCTGCCTAGATCCTTAAGGAGTATGTATCCTATGAAATCTCAACAATAGGGATGCTCAACACAACACCACCAGTGTGGATGGGGAAATCTCACAAGGCCCCACCCCTAGATGAAGAGCTGTAGGCCGTCAATGGCTGCTGAGAGAGAGGACCCCTTTTCTCTGTGGCCAGCCCCCAGATGGGTCATCCAATCCCAAGTGGTCAACACTAAATACAGGTTCATAAGAGTAACACTAGATGGGTTCAGTAGGGGTGTGTGTGTGTGTGTGTGTGTGTGTGTGTGTGTGTGTAAAACAACAATAATTATAGACGAGGTCATAAATTTGAGAGGGAGTAAGTAAGCACAGGACGAGTTAGAGGGGAGAGGGAAGGAAGCGTGAATGATTGTAAGTACAGTACTCATGCATGAAACTCTCAGAAATACAAAACATTTAAAATTTTAAAAGGAGTGCAGCCCAGCCAACACAGATTTTGACCCACTGACTCTCATTTCAGACTTCTGACCCCAAGCTGTCAGATATTATATTTGTAAGATTGAGGAAATCTGTTACTATAGCAATAAGAAACAAGCACAGATTTTTTTGGCAAAAATATCCATTTATTAGGTCTGTTGAGAAGATGAACAAAAGGTACTTGACACAGAATAGAGAGCACTGTGGGGGCTGGTAGGTGGCAGCTTGCGTTCCTTTTGGTCATTTTAGAAAATAAGCATAGTTTTCTTTAGAACAAAACAGAACCAAAAAAAAGGATTTGTTTTTAATTATGTGTCAGGGAGTAGAGTGGTACATGCACGAGCATGCAGGTGCCCTTGGAGGCCAGAAGAGGGCATTGGATCCCCTGGAGCTGGAGTCACAGGCAGTTGTGGGCTGTCCAACCCAGGTGCCGAGAACTGGACTCTGTAAGAGCGGTACTCGCTCTTAACTGCCGCCCCACCTCTCCAGCCCCAAGCCACAAGCGTGGCCCTCTGGGTTACTATTTGAAAAATCCAAAAGAGACAGCAAGTTCAGTACACCCTGCCTATTGATACAGCCCTTTCTCAAGCTGCCAACCCACAGAAGCGCACCCTCCCTCCCGCCAGCATTTCCTACCACGCCACAGTCTAGGTTTCTCCTAGGTTCTTCTTGCCCAAACCAGCCTCCTGCCTCTTCTCCATGCTGGTCGGCATTTTCTCAATCTAATTCTGGCTCTTGGAATTCTCCCGTGTGGTGCTGATCTGTCGTTGCCTCTTTTTCCACCCGGTTGTAGCCAGGAAGCCACACAGTAACTACCCACTTCTAAAGCTCGGTGACAAAAGCATCTTTGGGAAATCATTGTCAGTCACTGGGGCAACATCCCTTGCTCAGGATCCCTTCAGCTTCCTTCTGGACCAGTTAAGACCCCTTATTGCACCTCCATCTGGTCCCTTCCTTTTTATCGGCATCCCTCAAAGCTTTCCCTTAATTAACACTTGGTCCAGTGAATGTGCTTTTTAAATTCATGTGCTTTAGATTCCCTGAAAGAAAAAACAATCTCTGTTCTCTGAGCCCAACTAACCACTACCAAGAGACTGCTGCATGACAAATGGCTGCAGAGTCAGTACATGGCTGGTCAGTGACAATGTTGAACTTGCCCTCTCCAGATATTTGCCCTTTACTCTCTGTTCCTATTATCCGAATTTCTATCTTTCAAAGTCCGTTTATTTGTGTGTCTAGTTTAGAGAGCAGCCCAACTGGTCAGGATTGATGTCCGTGCATGCCAATACTGAACTCTACAATGTAACTGATCCGGCTGTACCAGTTAGGTTCTTCCTGGCTGAGCCTTCAAGACACCGTAAGGTTCTACCCTTCTGATGTGGAAGAATTATTCCAGATAAATAAACGGTGTCTCTAAGCAGAAACTCCGCAGGGTGGGTGGTGTCGAAAGATGGTGTAACAAGGGCCCAGATTCTTCTGTTCCTTTGACAAACACTGATGGAGTTTATGTGCCAAACCCTGAGACAAAAACACACATACATTTTTAACTCCTTAAATATCCACAGCCTTTAAGGTAAAAAGAAATGGGAAAATATTTAGGGATGTTTAAATTACTTAGGCTATTAATACATTATAGTACAGCAATGGAGTTAACATTTATCAAGGCCAGAGTCGTATAAAAGACTTGGGCTGAAGGAGATGGCTCAGCAGTGAAGAGCACAAATTGTTCTTCCTAAAGGCCTGAGTTCACTTCCCAGCACCCACATCAGGTGACTCACAACAGCCTCTAACTCCAGCTCCAGGGGATCCGAAGTCTCTGGTCTACACAGGCATCCACACACACATACGGCATACACTCCACACAGACACATAAACACACCTGATTTTAAGAAGACATGAAGGGGATTTTAAGCATGAAGGGGAGAAATAAAACAAGCAAGACGCACCTCCCAGCAGATCTCATCCACAACCCAGGAGTTCAGCCAAACTGGCTGACGCGATATTTGATCTTCATGTTGCTCTTCTGAATCTCCTCGCTCCCTGGTCCTCTCCTTGGAATGCCTACCGCCCATCTCACTTTCCCCTTACACACCCTCCTCTCTTCTCCTGGTCCAAAGGCTGACTCTATCATCAGCTAGGCTGGAGTCTTTCGCACCCAGACCCCACTCATGCATTTAGACATCTGCTTAAGTATTATAGCTACTTGAGAACTTAGCTTCTCTCCTAGTACAAAATCCTAGAATGTAACGATCTTCCTTACGCATCTTTACATGCCCCAACATGCACTTTTGTTATTTAATACCTTTAGACTTAGAACGGCAATTGGTTTAAGTGTCAAGGGATGTGAACAGCCTTTCTCAGTGTCTCAAGGGCAGAAGCCAAACCGATTGACCCCAACACTTAACCTTGTGTTCCTTCCAGAGACTCCTCAAGGACACAGACGTCTGGGTTTAGTTGCATCTGGCATAAACAGTATAAATAGTTTCTAGGAGCTGGTGTGAGCTGCAGGAAGGAGTGTGGGCCTCAGAGTCACACAGACCAAAGACGCCACCATATCTGCTATCGCTGGTCTATGTGGCCTCAGAGGTACTGCTTTATCAGTTAGTTAGGTTTTGATTTCCTGGTGTACAAAAGAGCCTCCTCCTCTCCCACACTGTTGCTCTAGCTAGGTTCTGAGAATCTGGTATGTACCTGAGGTTCCTAGAAGAGTGCATAGGGGAGCTAAATATTCCTCTTCTCTCTGCACGTCTCCTATGTAACAGAAAACATCGTTATGTGCAACTTACGTTTTTTTTTTTAGGATAACAAAATATTTAACATCTACCCACAGGCTACGGTAGTGACCTCAGCCAACTCTCTTCGTTTCTCTGTGGCTACAGTTGGCCTTGTCCAAGGATGGCAGAGGCCATACCAGGGACTATCAGTTTCTGTCAGCCTGGTCATCACCATGACAGACCTACTTTTTGTTCCCCTGGTAACCTTGAAGAATCTCAGTATGCCTCTCAGGATAATGACTTTGGTGTCCTTCATACCCTAAGGACTCCTGATAGGCACTGATCACTTTGAAAGCCTTTATTTTTATAAAGGCCTTTTTAAAATCTTTGTAAAACTCCCAGGATTGCTGACCTCGGGTATCAAATTTCTATCATTACTAAAAGCTCTCACAACTTTTATTTGGATGCAAAAAAAGGAAATAGGTAATGTCATAACTTGGTGACAGTATAGAAACTAAGGCAATATTTGCTACCTGCTCCCATCAAACTCTAACACTCTTCACTGTGTCCTCAGCTTGTGGGAAATCCTGAAGATGGCCAAAGATGATTCCACTGTTCGCTGCTTCCAGGGCCTGCTGATTTTTGGACATGTGATTGTTGGTGTAAGTCATAAGTAGTTTTCAGAACATTGTGTTCTTCTTGTAAGCATGGTTTTTAGATTAATTAAAAGTGAAAGTTTAAGAGAATGGTATAATTACTGCTCCCCTTTATAGCGTCTTCATTTTAAGAAATGCGGTAAGAAATATGCTAGCTAGAATCTTAAAATAGTCATATGTAACTACCTATTATAACAGAATACCATGATCAACTTTAAAATAGATATTTCCTTTCCAATTTTAAGACATAATGAATTTAAGAGTCATGTTCACTGTGGCCAACATCCAAACACACCTGCTAACACATTCCTTTATGCTTCTGTCCAGTTTCACGTTGGTTTGACTTGGGGACTCTGTTATTGAAGGTGCTGGGATAGACGTTCTTCTGTACAGAGTGGGAGAGTGTCTCAGAGGCCAAGCTGTGTGGGCATGAGGATACGGGAAGAGCACTAGTCCAGGAGTCGAGAGAGCTGGTCTGTGGCTCCGTTCCGTTTGTGCCTCTCTGTGTAGAGCTGTGGATGGGCCATCATCATTTGGGGCCATGATTCCTCACCCATAGAATATGAGCACTGGGAAGACAGTCACGAAGATTCCAGAACCACTGTGACAATGGCCCGGGCACTTCAAGTATTACAACAGAGGAAGATTTGCAATGAGACAGGATATGGGGAATAACTTTCATACAAGAAAGCGCTAAGTGGGTCATATCACAGGGGCTTTATGGATGGTCTGAGATTACCTAAATCTTTTCCCAAATAGCAAACAGACCGAGTTATATGTGGCAGGAAGCATCAAAGACAGAGGGTATATGAAGAAGGAAGCAAAGTACAAATAGTTGTTGGATTCCCTGGCAATGAGGAATCCATTGCATAAAGCCTCTGTAAGGGAAGAGAGTTGGCTATAGAATGTACCCTGGCCCCCATTCCCTTCCCAGTGCTCTGCTCTTGGCCACCAGCCTGACAGATCCACTCGTGGCTTGTTTCCAGATGTGTGGTATCGCCCTGACGGCAGAGTGTATCTTCTTTGTATCGGACCAACACAGTCTCTACCCACTGCTTGAAGCCACCAACAACGATGATATCTACGGGGCAGCTTGGATAGGCATGTTTGTGGGCATCTGCCTCTTCTGCTTGTCCGTTCTAGCCATAGTAGGAATTATGAAGTCCAACAGGAAAATCCTCTTGGCGGTAAGACCTTACAACCCTCTGAGAGCTGGAGGTGTAGCCCAGTTGATAGAGTGCCTGCCTCACACACATAAGGTCTTGGGTTCAAACCTTAGCACCATATTATCTGCGTATGGTACTGCACATCTACAATCCTAGCACTCTGTGGGTAGAGGCAGGATGATCAGAAATTCAAGGTAATCCTTGACTGCATAGCAAGTTCAGGGTCAGCCTGTGTTACAAGGGACTCTTCCTCAAAACGACAACAGCAAATTCTCTGCCGTTGTCTTCCTGGGCCGGTTTCGCTGAACTGTTTCTTCTCCATTGAGCACAGAGCTTTGGTTTGCACTGAGCTAAGTGGAGGAAGAGTCCCGGGTAAGTGGTAAAAACAAAATAAAACAACAACAAATGAAGATCCCCTGTTGCGAGATCATCCATGCGGGTTGTAAAGGTGCCCTCCATGATTGCAAGTTCAGGTTCCAGTAAAAATAACTGAAAACGGCAACACCTGTAGGTGGCCTAGTGACTATGTGCACCAATGCATTCTTCTCCAGCTACCAGTCTGCATGTGCCCAACATTCGCAGCCAGGAATCATGTGAGCAGGAGAAAAGACGCAGGGAGGGCTTTTTTGTTAGATTTTGTTCTTCCCTTGATAAGAGCTAGTTCTAAGTATTGTTTTAATATTAGTCAGATATTGGTGTGTTAAGATACAAAATGCAAAACAGACACGAAATCCCCAAACAAGAACTTTCCTGAAGGCTTTTGAGTTCAAGGCCTATGGTTTGTTTTTTTTTTTTTGTTTTTTGTTTTTTTTGGTTTTTTTTTTTTTGGTTTTTTTCGAGACAGGGTTTCTCTGTGTAGCTTTGCGCCTTTCCTGGGACTCACTTGGTAGCTCAGGCTGGCCTCGAACTCACAGAGATCCGCCTGGCTCAGCCTCCCGAGTGCTGGGATTAAAGGCGTGCGCCCGGCTGGCCTATGGTTTTTGTGTGATGGCCCGGACTTCCCACACTGTCCCTGAGTCTGCCGTACAGGAACCCTGGGAGACCCTGAACAGCACCATTGGGAGTGACCCAGTTCACACCACTCTGTGGTCCCAAGCCACTCACTAGATCATGCTCCTCTGCCTTTGCAAATGGAAATGTTAGCCAGCAGGGAAGAAACTCTCTTACTTGGCCGCTTAAGGGACTTGCTGGTTCACTTCTCTAAGGTAAAGCATTGCCCTAGTGCCTGGGAACGCAGAATATTGCAGAATATTTACCTTCTCCGCTCCTTTGTGTGCGTTAGTTCCAGGGCAAACACACTCACTCTGAGGCGTGGGGGGGGGGGGGGTATGGAGTGGGGAGGGAGAGAAGAGGGGGATCTTCCTGAAGACAACTTCCACTGCACCCTGGGCTCCTTCTGGGCCAGCCATATATATGTGCCTGACAAATCAGAACTGAGCTGGGGAGGAAAGGCAAGGAACAGAGTCCTCTCTGTGAAGCTGAAGGAGAAATGCCTATACCAATGCCTCCTTTCTGTCCTAATTGTAGAGGATCCTGAGGATCTGTGAGGGGAGCCACCAAAGCTCTTGACAGGAAGCAAGGACAACAGCTAATGTGGGGGGCGTGGGGGGGGTTATGGGTCTCTGGTGTCTCAGAAGGCCCTTCTTACTGATTTTTTTCACAGAGGTGGTTGTGTTTGTTTTGTTTTGTTTTAGGGCCAAATAGTGAAAGCAGCAAATGGTCCTGACCTTTGAACCCACAAATACCCCACAAAAGGGAAGACAACTTCCCCTGTCTTCCCCCCGACTGACTCCCATAGTCCTTCTGCACAAGAAGGACATAAGGGGCAACAGTGCGTGTATAAAAGTGTGCAAGGCAGAGATCAAGTTCTCACAAGAGATTGACACGCACTGAAAGGCATCCACTCACTGTTCTGCTGTTTTCCAACCAGACACTGGAGTCAGGGCTGTGCAGAGCCGGTCACCCACAGTGGAGGTGCTTGTCGCCTGCGCACAGCGTAAGCAGCGCACAGAGAGCTCTGCTCTGCCCTCACCAGAGCTGGTATCACACGGGTAGGTGACAGGAGCTCACCAATGCGTCTCCATGCCTGAAGGCTGCCTGCTTGTTACAGCTGAGCCTGGGTAGGAAAGACACAAGGCATTAAACATGTTCTGTCATCTTTTCCTGGCTTCACATTCCTTCATTGTTTATATCAGCTCCCCCGAGTTAAAATTGAAATGCATGGTGCTGGATGAAAAACCTCTGAATTGAATGGCCATTTCTCTAGAGATAAGCCGAGAACTGAGCTGACCCACATGCCACCTTGTCGCTAGTACCTAGCACTAGCCTCGTTCCAAGCACCTGATCAAAGAGAGCTTGTACTATGCAGTACTTGGATATTACATTTAGACGAATGTGCTAAAACTCACAGGAATCACGTGGTGGGATTTCTGTTATAATTCTCTGTTGTCCTCTGTTTCCTTCCCAGTACTTCATTATGATGTTCATAGTGTATGGTTTTGAAGTGGCATCTTGTATCACAGCAGCGACACAGCGAGACTTTGTGAGTATGGTCCCCAAAGCATAGAGCAAAAATGACGACCGCGCTGACACCGGAGCAAGCGACATGCTTTAAGCCCTGGCTGTGTGCTGGTCATGCTGATATGCACACTATTAATGAGTGCGTTTTTACTTAATACTCAGAAACCGAGAATGGGAAGTATTGCTTGTCTTTTCTAAATGAAAAGAGAGAGGCGGTTCCTTCAGAGAGAGCCAGGGACCTTAAAAGCAAAGAAAGTTATCTAAAGATGCAGAACTGACAAGTGGCAACAGCAAGACTTCTGATCCTAGGAAACCTGATTCCCAGTGCCCAGCCTGTGATCCTAGCATTGGTCATCACTCGACCATGCTGTGGCCTCCCTGCGTGTTCTGCCTTGTGGAAGACACCATTCAGACTCTTTCTTGTTCTATTTCTCACTGTTTCCCTAATCTATACCATCTTAGAACACCTGTCTACCCCAGTCAGGCGGTAGTTTCTTCTTCCATGGAAACCCGCAGCAGCCCCAGCCCACTGTGCTCGGTGCCCGAGTTTAGCCTCCCTCCAAGAGGATGCTCAGTGTCCTGGACAACCAGCCCCGCAGAAGATGATGCCTTTCTGGGGAGCAGGTGAGCTGATGCTCCCTCTTGTGTCTCCCCCAACCCCTGCAGTTCACAACCAACCTCTTCCTGAAGCAGATGCTGGTGAGGTATCAAAACAACAGCCCCCCAACCAATGACGATGAGTGGAAAAACACCGGCGTTACCAAGACCTGGGATAGGCTCATGCTACAGGTAAGGCGTGTGGTCCTGCGGTGGGCCACTGCACATCTGCACCAGTAACAACCTGAATGTGGGTGGGAGTGAGGTCAGTGTCTCCAGGGGCTTCCTTCAGGTAGAGACTTGTTCCTGGCCGGGTCAGCAATGCCTCTTGTTTACTGGTGAGGGTGAGGAAGGGGGAACGCTAAACACATGACTCAGTGAGGCCTCTGGATCCATATTTTATATCAAGCTACAATGCTGATTAGCCTACCTTTATAGGGTGTATGTTAAAAACGTTAGATTAATAATATGTTCTGCCTCTTATGATGTTAGGTCTCCCTTACTTTAACAGAACAGCAAACTCAAATAGTGATAGGTACTTGTCTCACCTTTTTATATCTCCTATGAAGAATTCTGCTAAGTATCAGGAGATATGATTTGATTTAATCACCCAGTTTTAAGTGGCCATCATTCCATATATCCAAACTTATTCCAAATACCATCAGAACCCCAAGTCTTCCAAGAATATTGCCCCATTTTGTCTTTTGTGTATAACCTCTAATATGAGCCTACTCTTCATTGGCCCAACACACACACACACACACACACATACACACACACACACAACTCTCACATACACACACACAACTCTCACACACACTCACACAATCTCACACACACTCTCACATACACACACACTCACACATATCCCAGCCTTTCTGTCTACTACTTTCAACACTGTCTTGACATTCTGCTTCACCAGAAACCTGGCTGCCCCCTAGTGTCCCCTGCCTGTCTTCTTACCCCCATGTGCCCTAAGACCTAGAAATCGATTAGGTTTCCCCGCTTCTCTGCACAGCTTCTGTATTCTCTCTTCCCTTGGTTCCCTCCTTGTTCAAACACTTAAAGTCCACACCATCAGCCTGTGGTCTCCTTACTGGGGCTTTTTATCAACACCTTCCAGTCATCCCCTGCTTTCACTGAGGATTACAGTATTGACAGCGCGATACACACACACACTTATCACAACACAGACAACACAGAATGAGTCTGTTTCCTGGTTAGCTACATCTTATATCTAAATGGTGAAATTGCACGTTATTTCAAGATGATCTTTGTCCTTAGATTTGCTTGTTTATATTCATTCTAAAAGTTGAAGGAGGCCTATAATTTTTACTTCCTCCCTGAAACATTTTAGCAGATAATGGTAAGGAGAGAACACAGTATGGATTTTATAGCCTCTCTCCAGTGTGTACAGAGTCATGGGCATCAGATATGTGTCTGCTTGACCCCCTTTTCTTATGTAGAGGAACGGGTCTGTGCCACCAGGTCTGAAATATTTTTCCAGTTTACTTTCTCCTTTATAAAATGAGGTGCTGAAACGGGCCTTTAATTCCAGCACTCAGGAGGCAGAATGAGACAGACCTCTGTGAGTTCAAGGCCAGCCTGGTCTACAGAGTGAGTTCCAAGACAGCCAGAAACCTTGCCCCCAAATAAATAAATAAATAAATAAATAAATAAATAAATAAATCTAATGCATAATTACTCTAGGAAAATATTACAAATACAGAAAAGGAAAACAAGAATAATTGCTAATGATGTCTTTACTACTAAAACTTTTCATTTTATGATTTTTAAATGACTGTATTTCTCTTGTGGTAATGTATCTTACTACAAATATTAATAATAATAAATGCCTATTAAGAGCTTACTATGAGCTAGGTGCTGTACCAAGTAAATTAATTATATTAACACACTTGATCCTCACAAAAATTCTATAAGATAGGTCTTATATTCATTTCAAATTTAGAGTCAAATGAAATAAGCCTTAGAACAGTGGTTCTCAACCTTCTCAATGTCACAACTCTTTATTGCAGTTCCTCATGTTGTGGTGATCCCCAATCATAAAATTATTTCATTGCTACTCCATAACTGTGATTCTTTTTTTTTTTTTTTTTTTTTTTTTTTTGGTTTTTTCGAGACAGGGTTTCTCTGTGTAGCTTTGCGCCTTTCCTGGGACTCACTTGGTAGCCCAGGCTGGCCTCGAACTCACAGAGATCCGCCTGGCTCTGCCTCCCGAGTGCTGGGATTAAAGGCGTGCGCCACCACCGCCCGGCTTGTTTTGTTTTTTTAAGACAGGATTTCTCCATGTAGTTTTGGTTCCTGTCCTGGATCTCACTCTGTAGACTAGGCTGGCCTCGAACTCACAGAGATCTGCCTGCCTCTGCCTCCTGAGTGCTGGGATTAAAGGCGTGCGCCACCGCTGCCTGGCTGTCATAACTGTGATTTTGCTACTGTTTTGAATCAAAAAGTAAATATCTGATATGCAGGATATCTGATATGAGACCCCTGTGAAAGAGTCAGTCCAACCCCCAAGGGGTTGTGACCCACAGGTTGAGAACTACTGCCTTAGAGACTTACAGTGTTATGCCCATTAATGGCTGGTAAATGAATAACATAAAAACATTTTTGGAAACTTAGAACAACCTTAAGTTCCAGTTTGGAAATATTTTAGTCATGTAAGATGTGGTACGCTCTCTAGTACTTTCTCCACAAAGCTTTAGGTGGTGACATTGATGGCTTTATTATGGGCCATAAAGATAATGTTGTGGCTCTTATCCTCTGGCAGGACCACTGCTGTGGTGTAAATGGTCCGTCAGACTGGCAGAAATACACCTCTGCCTTCCGGGTGAAGAACAACGATGCTGACTATCCCTGGCCTCGGCAGTGCTGCGTCATGAACAAGGTTATGGAGCCTGTCAACCTGGACGCTTGCAAACTCGGAGTGCCCGGTTATTACCACAGTCAGGTGAGTCCCCTCCCCTCCGAAGACCTAGCAGGAAGTGCTTCTGCGCTTCATGAAGAAAATAATAGTCAGCTGTGAGTAATGTCATACGGAAGTCTGCATGTTTCCCCTACATAACCTCGCGTTATCTAGTTCCGTCTCTGTGAGTGCTCATTCAGAACTGTTGCAAATTTAATTTTAGTAAAATTACTGCAACATGACGATTTCCGTAGCACAAACCAACTTGGTGTCAATAAAGACAATCTATCTGTGTCATGTCTAGAATTGGTTTTATGAGAAATATCTGCATTAGAGGAAGGCTTGCAAAATGTAAATTGGAAAGGTTGATATACAAAGACAATATTATTCAGCTCCAAAACAATGGCAGTTGCTGAGGTCAGAGGCAGGCAGTGTTTAGCAGGATTAGATTGGAGATTTGGGCTGAAATATTTACATATATATGGTTTTTATCAGAGTGCTTCTGGGCTGACGAAAGTGCCCTGATGATGATCACGAAACACTTACTGAGGTCTTCCTGAAGGCCAGATGTTGTGTCCTGTGCCACACAGAGACTATAATGCCTGGGGTGCTCAAACGTTGGTGCTGGCTGTGCTCTGTGATCTGTACATGAGCGAGAGAAGCTAATAGGGCCTTGCCCGAGCTCACACAATTAGTAAATGGCTGCCAGGCTTCAACCCCAAGCCATAGAGCTTGAAAGCACAGACACCACATCCATAAAGGCTTGGACATAGTCCTCCAAAGTCTTAGTGAGCTTTCCCAGGCCCTGTAAACCAGCGTCTGTTGACACAGCACACCGAAACACTCTGCTGCCCTGCTTTGGGAGTGGTCACTGTGAGGAAGCCTAGCAGTACGTCAGTCTGTCAAATAATTGAGAAGCATCAGGCTTTTCCCTACAGAAGTAATGCCACAAGCCATCCATACATCTGGAGTGAGCGACGCCATTGTTACACCTGGCGGGTACCTGGACTGCAAGTGGATGTGTTCATTCACAAAGGACATGGGAGTGATACCGAGGATTTTGTAGCAGAGCAACCCTCACTGAGCTTTATAGCAACCTTGTTATGGCATTGTTTTAGTCAGTTATACTCGGGCTGTAATAAAAAAAATAAATGTATTGCTTATAATCAGCATAAAATGCAACCATCACTCCAACTATTCAAACTACTCATGAAATGTTTTCAGCATTGGAAGTGGCTCATGCACACCAGTCTTTACTGAATTACAGTCATGTGCTAACAATGTCTTCTCTCTAAAAGGGACAAAAAGGGCACCCACCTTCCAATTATTGCATAGCCTTGTCTTCCCCCTACAATACAGAACACTCCAGCTATGAAAATCTACTAAAACCACTTACTCAGGCTTAGATAGGTGAGTTTGAAGACAAAACACAAATTCACTCTTTTTCTTTCGACTGTTTTGGGACCTCCACACCCATCTGGACACCTTCCTTTGACCTTATCTGCCTTCAGTGTCTCCAGCTCCACGACCAGCCAGCTGAACCACAGGCATAAAACATCACCAGTTAGCCCCACTCTTCAACGGAGTTCCCAAGTTCTGACATCTCTTCCTCTGTTCCTTCGTTCCCACTTACTCAATCTCACTCGCTCTTCACCCTGAACCTAAACAGATCTATCAGTCTGACTCCCCCTATCTTGCTCCCCCAGATTCCCATCCATCCCCACTTTCTGACATACAGGTGCTGCTAATTCCACTCCAGCAATCCTTGGTTACACAAGAAAACAGTTCACCCAATACCTGCTATGCTTTGCTGTTGTTTTTAAATGTACCTTGTCCATAAATTTCTATGAGCTGCCTTGGACTGTATTACTTAGTTCTATATCTTCAGTACTTGGCTCAAGGCTTGGCACAAGACAGATACTCAAAAAATGTTCGGTGGGTAGATAAGGGAATGAAGGAGTGGATGACCCCCCCTTTCATAAGCATGTTGAAGCTTTTCAACACTTGCAATGCTCCAAAGTGTTGCTATAGATAAAAACTGGTAAAACTAGAAAAGAGAGTCTAAGTATAGAATGAGGAAAATGAGGAAAATCAACCAGAATTCCACATAGTAGGTCAAATAGACACACACACACACACACACACACACACACACACACACACACACACACACATACTTAGGCTTCATAAGCATTGAAAAATGCTACATACAAATTCTGATGTCTTTACCTCAAGAATATTAATATATACTAAGAGTGTAAAGTCCCAATGAAATGATTAGCCTCCTGGAAACTCAGTAATGAGATGGAAAACTGGGGATTTTGACTGTGAGTCCCATAAAGACAAGAGTCCTTTCTGTCTTGCCCCAGCTAAGTCACCAACTCAGGACCCAGCACCTGGCATAAATTGTCTTTTACATATAGTATTTGATGAATGATTACCTCCCAAGGTTTTCAAGAGAATGGGAGTGTTCTGTGTTTTCCAAGTGGAGATTGTAAATGTTAATTAATATCCTTTCATTGTCTCTTTTCTTGTTCTTTCATTCATTCATTCATTTGTTTAAGATAGGATGTCATTCTGTAGCTCAGGCTGGCTTTGAACTCTTTATGTAGCTCTGAATGGCCTTAAACTCATTATTATGTAACTCAGACTGGCTTTGAATTTATAATTCTCTTGCCTAAGCTTCCTAAATGCTGGGATTACAAGCTCTCGTTCTGTAAATTATTATTAGGTACCTACTAGATGCCAGGCACTCAAAACCTCTGCCCTTGTAGAGGCTGCTTTTTATTATAGATGACAAATAAGGAACCCACTGCATGCAAATACACAAATTCCAGATAGTGGTAGTGCCAGGGGCAGACATAAAGCAGGGTTTGTAAATGGAGTATGATAAAAGAAAGCTGCTTTTTCTGCGGCTGTCCAGAACGCCTTTGTTGAGATGATATCTGCAGAGTTCTGAATTGTGTGCGGAGATGGGGAACTGGAGTGTTAGGGAACACTTCTAAGCAAAGGAAGCAGCCTGTACAATCCTTAGCACTTTGGAGCCTTACAAGGCCAGAGTGATTGTGAGATGTCTAGAAGGGATGGGTAAACCTAGATCTAGCGAGTGCGGTCAGATGTGCTAGGCCCTGTTCCATGATCTGCTCAATCAGTAGCATGGGAGGATGCCCATGCATGCTGTTCTTGGAGATGGACTTAACCCTCAAGGGAGGCCCTGGAGGGGCCAGAGTGGTACAAGGAAAAAGACTCGGGGTGTTTGCATTTGTGATACTTTTAAATAGACCCTAAAGGATTTGCTTAAGTGTTGAATGTTGGATAAAGAAAGCAAGGAAAATTTCAGGAGTCTTCATTTGGGCATTCTGCAATGTAATAGAGTAAATGAGAGAACTATTCAAGTACAGGGGTGGAGGAAATCAGCATGTATATATGGCTTAAGAAGGTGAGGACACCGAATCATGGGAGACAGAACCTCAAGTGCACACCTGTAGCCACTGGGTGGAGCCTGAACTTCATGGCCGACCTAGAATAGTTGTTGAAATTTGCAGACAAATCCAGCACACTTGCCTCTGGACCTTTCAGTGCATGGAATCGCCTGGCTTCTGCATTTCCTGGGTGTTCCCTATGATCCCTAAGATTGTGTAGAGTCCCTTAAATGGCAACTCTAGCCTTGTGTGGTTGTCAATTATTAATCCACCGGCATCAGTTCTTATCTCCGCTCTAGATGATCTCTCCATATTAATGTAACTCATGCCACCTTCCCAGGGCTGCTATGAACTGATCTCTGGACCAATGGATCGGCATGCCTGGGGAGTTGCCTGGTTTGGATTTGCCATCCTATGCTGGACTGTGAGTATCCTCAGCACATGTTTTATTTCAGAAAGGGGCAATAATGAGAGACCTTGAGACAGTACCTGGTTATTTCAACAACCCTAAAAAGTCTGGAAACCAATTCTTGCAGCTAAGGTCGTCAGAAGATATCTAGCACCAGACCAAGGATTATGGGCTCCCTTGAGGTGTAGGATGTCAACCTCCCTCCTAGGGAAAGGACGGGCCTACTCTAGAAACCCTTCTTCTAGCTATCCCAGATGAATCCACCTGGGCTTCTTAGTGAACTCCGGCTGTGTTCCACGTTGAAGTCATTCATTGCAGCTAGAGTTCAAGGCCCATCCTGTCACCTCCCTAGACAGCTTCTGAGGCCCAACATTAGTTGTCTAGCTCCTTTCCATGGTCTCATCACTTCCTGCTGACTCTCTGTGAGAAAAACACAGGGAGGTCAGAGCCCTGGCTCCCAGCCCTAGCTGCACATTGAAACCTCCTAGACAGACAGAACCTGTATGTACCAACCACTCTGTGGTTCTTCACTTGATCCTACAGCTGGGCCTGGGCATTTTGTTTTATTTGGCTTGTGTTTGTGTTTTGATTTGGTAATTTTTCTAGATGATTCTAAATTTCTGTTCCAGCTGAGAACCATGATATTTGGGAAACAATTCCAAACTTTGATACTGGTTACCCTGGTACACCTTGAAATGTGTTAAGGATTCAAAGAAAGAAAAAAAGCTATTTTTCTCTATGTGGCCAGTGTCTACTGACATTTACTTCCACTAAGTATAATGACTGAAAAAATTAAATATTTAATAGGCCAATTACAAGTTCATATAAACAACATAACCCTGATAAGAAAATAGTAACTATTTCACAAAACGAAAAATTTGTGAAGTAGTATTGCTTTGAGGGTTCCTCCGATCCTGTCGGAATCTGGCTTCGTAAAGGAAGCTGGGTCTCTCACAGGTGCTCCTTCGTTCACTCTGTGCTAACGCATCACCAGTGTTGAAGGACAGGAAGAAATTGGATCCTTCATTACAGCGTGAAGTTATAAACAGGAATGTTTTGGTAACCTTATTCAAGGTGAATATCGTGAATATTCCTTTGAAACTATGTGCCCTTCTGTAGAAGCTTCTTCAAGATCAGTTGCAATACAGAATCTGAAACTAGATTAATGAAGAACTTTCTGTACAATTTGCACAAATCTTTGATCAATACCTAAGTCACGAACTGGCTGTTTGGGGAAATGCTGCCTCATTATGCTTCATAGCATTTGCTGGTGTTTGCTGATTTCTTTATGGGACACCAAAAGATCATATTCATTAACACCCTGGAAAAGCTCTCAAATAGGATACTATCAAACCCATGGCAGCATATCAGTTCTCCAGAGATCTGATTTTTGCTTGAAAACTCAAATTTATTATTGGCCCATATATTGTCAAGTGTTTTCCTTGAGGTAACAGACTAATTTCATAAGTTTTGAAGAAAATATCTGCCCAAATATCCAAGCCTAAATAACCATAACTTCTTAACTTTTTTTTTTCAAATAAAAATGGTGTTTTAAGCAAAACAAAGTTGGGTCAGTGTATAACCAACTACATATGTGCTTTCCTTTTGCACAACTGTATTTCAATATGCCATGGGACTTGGTGTGTTTTTTATCATACAGAATATTAAAAGGATGTGTAATCAAAGGTCACAGTACAATAGGATCGGTAGGGTTGGTTGTTCCATGAAGGACGAGCCCAGATAAATCCCTGCCTCTTCCTTCTCCCCACAAGCGCACAGCCATGCAGGGTACACCGAGAACTAATGCAGTTCAGTGCCTCTGCCTTGTCTCTCTCTGAGACTTGGCAGTCTTACCTTATGCTGATTTTGTACCACCAGTGCCCATGTAAAAGACACTGACGAGGCAAATGAAGTCCCTTTACCTAAATATTCTTGACCTCATTGACCCCTGAAGGGCATTTGTGTACTATGCTTTGAAAAGTGCTGAGTGAGAGGGTATAAAATGAGGGAGAAGAGAGAAAGCTGTTCCTTCAGGAAGTGTTTTATGATCAGCCTTAGGAGTTCATGTCTGTTGTGAAACAATGTCCCAATGACATATTGGATGCTGCCAGAGGCAGAGGGCCAGCTGTTCTTAGTTCCCCAACACCTAGCCTAACAGAGTAAAGGCTCGGTTATTTATTAAGTCCATTTAAATGACAACAGGGAAGTGTCCATTGGTCCCGTGTTACCACGAGCTACAGGACATTTAAAGGCTTTGGAGCACCATGGGGTTGCCAACTGACTGTACACAAGTATCAAACTCTAATTGATAGATATTGTAAATCTCCTGAAATTCGGTAGAGGGGGAAAAGAGCTAGAGATACTGAGGGTCTGCTGTGGATGAGACATCATGTCAGCTAGTCTTCACACGAAACCCCCTCAAGATCAGTAGGTCTGCCCAACAAGGAACCGTCCTTGAGAAGAACTCCTAGCATAGCCAGCTCACTTCCGCTCACAGAGGGGTTTCCTGTTCTCAACCTGTGGGTCGAGACTCCCTTGTAGATTGCACATCAGATGTTTATATTATGATTCATAACAGTAGCAAAAAATACAGTTATGAAGTAGCAACAAAATAATGTTATGGTTGAGGGGTCACCACAGCATGAGGAGCCGTATTAAAGGGTCACAGCATTGGGAAGGCTGAGAACCGCTGCCCTAAAGCCTGTTGGGTTCTATGTCTTTGGGTTTGTTACTTCCCTGTGCTTCAAATTCTTCAGAGAATTTTGAGAACAAATGCGCCCGGTGCATACGAGTTATAATAAACATCAGGCCCAGTAATTATTTCATTGTCTCCCTCACAGCTCTAGATCTGAGGTAGAGAGAGAAGGTATGAAGTTTATTTCACACAGAGACTGGGGCTCAGGAAAGTAAAATGGCAGGGCTAGGATCCCTGGCAGTAGATGGTAGATCTGGAACAGGCCAGACTTTCCAACTCCACACCTGAGTGAGAGGTCTTAGGCTCTGCGGGATTCTTCAGAGGCAGTCATTCCAGGTGGCAGGCATTTTAAGAGGAAAGGGTTTCAAGATTAGAAGGAAAAAGTGACCCAAATGCCTGGAGATGTAGCTCAGTTGGTGAAGCACCTGCTGAACACACCCAACCCCCCAAATTATATCCCAGCTCTGAACAAAGCAAGTATGGTTGCCATGCCTATAATCCCATTACTTGGAAACTGGGAGCAGAAGGGTCAAAAGTCCAAGGTCATCCTCAGTTATGTAGCAAGTTCAGGGACAGCCTAGGCTACAGGAGACCCCATCTCAAAAATAAACAAATAAATAAAAAGCAAAAAGATAGAATCTATGCAGTTTCTATCGGTAGCTGGAGGGCCAGCCTCTAGTCACCACCAGGGTATCTGAGTTCTATCTGAGGGGGAAAAAAATAACAAAACACACTCTTTCTGATGGTAACTTTCTCTTTTACTTCATATAAAAAAAATCTCTTTCTCTGAAAATCTCTTTCTTCACACAGCTACATCTCTTAACATACAGCTATATATCTCTCTTTGCAAACACACATCTCAGAATCTCTTTCTGAAAAATCTCTCTTGCTCTCTCTCCTGCCTAGCTTCTCATTCTTTTTCCTCAGCTCCTTCTGTACACCCATGCACACACACACACACACACACACACACACACACACACACACACACACACACTCACAGCTAACTCTTCACACAGCTCCTCTACATAGCAACATCTCCTTCACACTGCTCCCTCTCTCTCTCTCTCTCTCTCTCTCTCTCTCTCTCTCTCTCTCTCTCTCACACACACACACACACACACACACACACACACACACACACACACACATTATTCACTCACTCTCTCTCACACAGCCATACTCTGGACAATTATATGTTACATATTCAGGGTCTGACCCATTCTCATAACACATAATAAGTCACGCAGTTTTTCTCAGGCTAGGAAGCTCGTGCTGACTGGCCAGTGAGTAATGCTTGGCCAAACACGTAGCCTGAGTGGTTAGCATTTCCAAACAGAGAATGTCATTGAAATTCAGGACTTAACAATTAACAGTAGTTTGCTGAACCCTGAGTGGTTGGGGTACATGCAGAAAGAGAATTACTGCTGAGGGTTACGTCTACCAAAGCTGCTTCATATTTGACCTTGATTTAGCAATGAACACCTGGGAATTTGTCGTTGTGTATTCTCAGCTGGTCTGTTTTGAATTTGTTCTGAAATCTAAAATTAGCTGCCTTTGTGACTGAGAATACTGTTACTTTCCTGTGTCAGCTATGGAAAATATTCTAGTATTATCAGAATTATACAGATTAAGCAGAAATCATCTTCCTGACTATCCACAGCAGTGCATGTGTCCAAAGACGGGATATTTTCTTGAGATAAACACACAAGCAGTAGAGAAAATACCCATAGCTGTTATTAGGGAAGAAATGAAGTGGCACATGAGAGAAATTACAGACCAACCAGTCATTTACAGTCAGTGACTCCATGGCCTTGCCAGGTGGGGCTCCCCATCAGGTGGGTCTGGTGGGTTGACCTGTTAAATACTAGTTGTCACCTGCTGTATACTCCCATGGCCTCCTGCAAGTTTCTAACTAGAAACCGGATCACAGGAGAGTCCTTAGCTTTGATAACAGGCAGGAAGAATTCTCCCAAGGCTATTTCAGGGCAGAAATGAGAAGAGCACTTGAGAGGTCAGAGAGACAGCGTAGGAAGTGCTGGGCACACAGGGAATGGAGAAATTGCTCTGAGTGGCAGATTATAAGCAATGCTCTCATGTGGAATGGACACAGCAGCAGCTGGCCCCTAAGGTTACCGTCACTTAAATTACTGCTAGAAACTCCATGTCACCTAAGTCTGAACAAAAGAAATGTCATTGTTTTATATTAAGGTGGATGTTTTTAAAACCCTGTCTTAATCATTTGTTTTCCTTTTCTCGCTTTAATTCTAGTTTTGGGTTCTCCTGGGTACCATGTTCTACTGGAGCAGGATTGAATATTAAGCACACAGCGTCTCCGCCATACCTCCCGCCTCGGGTGACTCTGGATTTGGTGCTGGAACCCCGCTGTTTCGTCACATGCCTTCTGTGTGCTCCATGGTGACAGATGCTTTTCTCACTCAAATGCCAGCTCAGGTGGAATGGGCTTCCTTTAGCCTCTCAGGCTGCTGCAATCCTCAGCAGAAATAGTTCTCATCCTTGGCTAACATTCTGCAACATATTTATGTACTATGAGACAGAAAATTTGGAGAGTGGAGATGACTCTCATTCCTGCTCATGTTTAATGTGGGGGGCACAACGACATTCGAGGGAACCTGCCTTACCATCACAAGCTCTGTCTGTATTTAATAGCAAACTCAAGAAACAGGGAGCCCCATATCTCCTACTATTTTCTTCAACCTTGCAAGGGTTTTGTTTGTCACAGTGTAGACTGGGGGAGGGAAGGAGTGGGGATTGCAGAGCTGTGCCTCTGCTTCTGGTTCTGCTATGGCTTCTGTCTACACTGGCAGTGCTCCTGACACACCCACCACCTTTGGATACTTTTTATTCTCTGGGATGATCCTTGATTTTCATTTAATAAGTGTTCTGACTTCCTCTCCTGCCCTGTGGAGTGACGTGCATTTAGCAACTTCATTCTCGGTTAATTGAAAGTACATAAACGTTAGGGACGTTGACACTGCCCATTTTACACCAGCTCGGTCTTTGCCCTCAACGGTTTCAACGTG